TACATCAAAAAGAAAAACCCATAAAAAACACTGAAAGGCAGGGTATATGTTAAAAGAGTTTTCTTGGTTTCAAAGCTTTTCTTATTTCTTTCACAGAGATCTGAAAAATTAAAATTAGCATTTAAAAGTATTCAAAAAATGTTTAAATCATTGTTTAGTTGTTATACTCTACAGGTGCAGTTCTGAATAAATAAATTTACCATCTGCTATGTCTAGATCTTTAATAGTTTGCAATTATACTAACCAAAAGGTGAAATATCTTTGACTTCACAAACAGGACTTTCTTTTGGATGAAAACATTCGTAAACAAACTATTTTGGTAAATTAAAACAAGGCACTTCTGCTATTTTATACTAAAATTAAACTATTTATAAAAAGCTGTTAATATGACTTCCTTATAGTATGAGAAAGGAATAAAATAAAGGAGTCATTCATTCAGTCAATGTTTATTTTGTCTACTCCTAAGACTAGAGTAGGTGCTAGGGACACCAAAATGTATAATACAGTCTAACCAGGAGAAATTTGTATTCCAGCAGAATACATAAACTATAACTATTCTAGAGTGTGATGAAATATGAGAGCAAAAGTGCATAAAAATGGATAAGGAGCCACAATAGCATGAAAAGAATAGTTCTGCCTCCACTGACAGTAAGCTCCACGAAGACAGGGTCCATGTCTGTTCAATCACTGCTGGATGATCACTAGCTCCTAGAACAGTGTCAGGCACAAGTTAAATGCGCTATAAATACTTGTTGGCTAAAAAAGAGGGAAGGCTTCACATGTAAGTTGACCAAAGAGATAAGCATTAAAACATAAGCAGAAATTACATAGACAAAAAGGATCGGAAAGGGCATTCTAAGCAGAAGGAACAAATTAACTTCTTCATCCACCTTTCACCAATTTACTCTAATGCAGATAGTAACATTTTCTATAACCTTCATCCAGCTAAAAATTTCCTAAATTAAAATTTTCATTTTTAAAAAGTAGAAAATAAACTATCAAAGTCTCCAGTATCCACAGAATACCTCACATAAGATTTTGAGTGTGTAAGCCCAATCATTACCAACATAAACAAAACTGAACACAATAGCTACAAAAATAATAGCTAAATATATAAATGGAATAAAAATATACAGATTTTAAATCCTCATTCAAGGATGTTTTTATTGGAGTTTTTAAGAGACGAGGGAGGGAGGAAGGAAGAGAGGGGAGGAGGGAAAAACATCAATGTGAGAGAGAAATATCAGTCGGTTGGCCTCCCGACACACCCCAACCAGGGATTCAACCTGAAACCTAGGTATGTGCTCTGACCAGAAATTGAACCCAAAACCTTGCAGTGTATAGGATGTTCCAATCAACTGAGCTACCTGGCCAGGGAAAAAATTTTATTCCATGCCCAGTTGGCGTGGCTCAGTGGTTGAGCATCACCCTATGAATTAGGAGGCCACAGTTTGATTCCAGGTCAGGGCACATGCCCAGGTTGCAGGCTGATGTGCCCAGGAGTCTGCCAGTCAATGATTCTTTCTCATCATTAATGTTTCTCTCTCTCTCCCCCTTACTCTCTGAAATCAATTTTTAAAAATATATATTTTGCAAATGTAGTTTTTAAAAATCACTGAAAGCAGTTATTAGACTAAGTGTGATACATTGCTATACCAAGTTCTGAGTATGTGGCATTTTGAGTCATGTTTTAGGTAAATGATAAATACGAGTTGCTGCTTTGGCCAATCTTTTATGGCTGACAAGTATTTCTAAAAGGGTCAACAAATATAAATATTTCATGTGGTGAGCCACAAGGTCTCTGCCATGACTATCTAACTGCCATTGTGGCATGAAAGCAGCATAGAAAAACACATCAATGAATGGGTGTGGCGGAGTTCTAACCTTTGTTTACATAGATGGCTGGCCATGACCACTGTTTTCCAACCCTAGTTCTGGAGTCTCACAGTGACTTCTTGATAATTCTTTTTATCAAAACAGCTTTGCTTCCTTTCAAGCACTTTCACATAAATTGTATTAGTGTTTCACTAAAGCCTCTCAGGGCACCTACAAGAGAAAGAAACTGAAGCTAAAAGAAGTGGGTGACTTGCCCCAAGAAGCTACTAGCAGAGCTGATAACTAAAAACCAGGCCTTCCTTTTCACAATTCTTAACCATCACCCTCCACACCCAACCCTCTAATGCCCCAAATGAAACATTTTAATCTGTTTTAGAATCCTCTGCTTATGAATAAGCTCTCTGTAGCTGACTCATCACATTCACAACAGAGTTCAAGAACATCTACTTAAATGTTCATTTAAATTATTTACTTCAATTCTGAACCCAAATTATTCTCCGATCCCTTTTCTCTTTGGAAGATTCCTGTCTTCTTCCATTTAGGCAATCTTCTAATTCACAAGTCTCCTATAATGCCACTTCATCTTCAAATAACCAGCAAGGAAAAGGGAAAAATATACCTTAAGAGATTGTAAACTTTTAATCATTTAATAAAAATTTGTGTATTCAGTAATATAAATGAAAGGCCTGGTGCCTACCTCTGCAATAATATAGTTGCTAAATATCAGAGGTACAACTATGTGCAATTCCATGTAACTCAAATTAAATCTAAGATACTTAAAAGAAAAGAGAAAATTTAATTTAGAATACAGAGTCATAAAATATGTGCCTTTTGTATACTGAAGTTAGATAATACTGTTATCTTGCATAATGAAATTTTAATACTTAAATAACTATAAACACCTCTTTGACATGATGACAATATAGTCCAGAAGATAAAACTGGATCACTTTTTTTTAAATTTTTTGCTTTTTGTTTTCTTCTAATTTAACTTTATTATTTAAAGTATGTCCCCTTCTCGCCCCGCCACTGACCTCTTCTAGCCTGCCTCCATCTCTGCCCCTCCCCCTTCACCACACTATTGTCTTTGTCCATGGGTTATGCATTTTTATACATTTTTTTATGGGGGGGAGGGTCTTCTCTTTTATTCTGATAGTTGCTATAAAAGAGCACCTTATATTGGACTAACTCCCTGTACAAAAACAATTCTAAAAGATCGACAGATCATTGGCTTTCCTTGCTTTGCATAGCAGTATGGGACTATAAAAGTGACCATGCAAGATGTAAACATGCAAAATGATCTTAACAATTAAGGAGAAATCACAATTGTTCAGTGATCTTTACAAAACTGTCAAAAACATTAAAAACTCTGGTTATAAATGTACAGAAAAATAAAAACGTAACTCAGACTAATACCATGTTTATTTAGTACACAGTAATTTAAAACATTTGGAACATGGAGAATTAAAGTGTTTTATTTCTTTGTTAAAAAATAAAAAAGCTTAAGTATGTTTGAATAGTGTTTGCTTCCTGAACATATAACTTACCAACAAACATCTTATATTATAAAAGCATAGTATGCAAATTGTTCCCTCAGCCAGGAGTTCCACCAAGAGACAGGGACAGCCAGGGGAAGGAAGGAGGCCCTGGCTGGTAGTGGAGGCAGGCGGCCACGGGAAGGCAGCCAGCAGTTGCTAGGTACGCTACCAACGCATGAATTTCATGCACAGGGCCTCTAGTATTTCATAAATTGTGGTGAATTGTCATAATCCTCTGAGAGTTTGAATCAATTTCTAACATACTACCATTTTCACTTTCAATGTCATGAAATATATATCCCTTTAATGTGTTTTTTTTGCCAGCATCACTTCCTCTGGGATAGCTTCACTCTTTTCATCTCAACATTTCCCACATGTATGTGGAAGTTCACCCTCATTAATTTCCTATGGTTATCTAAACTCTCTCAAATGGTGATAGTGTCCACATTCTCACAGTCAGCTTTGTCTTCTATAATTCCATTATGTTCTATTCAAGTTTAGCTTCCAGAATTACCTTTTCTTTCTTTACTTAATTTTCAGCTTTCTTAGCCAACTCCCTCTTTTGATTATCCAGTGTGATAAAATGTTCTGTGGACTTATCATGGGAGACAAAGAAGTAACATAACTACATGCTTTGCTGTCTATGGATGAAAACAACAGATGCATAATGACAAATCACTGACAGACACGGAAAGAAGTGAATTGACTGATCACTGATCACAATGCATATGTATTATTGCATAATGATTCACAACTGAAGAGCTGCCAATCAAGCTTGTACTTTATGTGATTATTAAATAGCATGGAAAATGAAATTTGAACCATATTCTTGGGAAACTGGAACTTTTCTTAGGTTGAGGTATAATTAACATATTAGTTTCAGGTGTACAATACAATGATTCAATATTTGTATATGCTGCAAAATGATCACCACAATAGTTACCATCAGTCACCATATGAAGATTACAAAAAATATTTTTTCTTTCAAGATTTACTCTCTTGGCAACTTGGAATGATATTATTTAACTAAAACATGTTAACTAAAGCTCATGCATATTGGATTTGTGCAAAGCAAGGACTTCCTGTACATAGAACTGTCTTAAGGCACTGGAAGGCAGGAAAGATTAAGGAACTATGATCTTTAAAAGACGAAGAATACTGAGGTAAATTGCAGATTGCCCTCAGTTTATTCCTTGAGTGTATTTTCTAAGACCCAAGAGAGTGTATCTAAGCACAAAGCAAGTCTTATTGTTCAGAGAAAATAAAGGTTGCCCAAATGCCCAACCCAAATGGAGGTGCTTTGGTATGCAAACAGTATTCAATTGCAATTCCAAAAGGATCATGATTAGGAGTAAGGCACTTTTCCCAGAAGCTAAACACAGGAAGTTTCCACTATGATATGTTATGGGCAAAGCAATCAGTCCAATGCTGGGAATCTAGAAATAGAGGTCTATTGGGAGAGTATAACTTAAGGAATAACTAAAGGTAGCTTTTTTACAAAACTTTGTGCTTAGAGACTGAACTCTAAACTTATACCATCAATCTTAAAATGTACCCATTATTTGCAGAATTACAGTTACTCCACACTTTATAAAGGTGTTCTGAAATTAAACACTGCTATATTTACCATTATGTAATCCCATCCAGAGCTGCTTGTGATCTTTTTTCTGCATTTCATTGATTACTTGGCTTTTGTGCTTTAATGCATCAGCTTCTTTCACACAAGACATGAAATGAGCTTCAATTGTGTCCTTAGATGGACAGTGCAAAAGGTCCTTTTCTGGAAAACCCTATCAAAGGGAAAAAATATATATACATATAAAACAGTATAAAATTAGCTTCTTAAAGAACTATATCTCCCCCAATTTTTCAATATTTTTAGTAAACCAAATCTTACCTTCTTAATAGAGACTTCAGTACAATTAAAGATTTAGATATATTTTATACTTCTTCCAAATAAACCATATATGACATGTTTATAACAACATGAAACAAAAATATGAAACAGTACTAATTTTAAAAGTAGCTTAATGACTGACCATACCTAGTGTTAGCAAGTGTGGAATGGAACTCTCACACCGTTGGTGGGAATGTAAAATGGTACAACTAGTTTGGAAAACAGTTTGATAGTTTTTGTTAAGTAAACATATACCTATCATCTGATCCAGTTGCTCTAGAACTAGGTATTTACCTAAGACTTGTACATTAGTGAGCACAGCAGCTTTATTTGTATCACCCAAATAAAAACAAAAAAATAACAGGAAACAACCTAAATATCAAAAGATAAATAAATACATAAAGTGTGGTATAAACTTATGAAAGTATACACTTTTAATATGCATAGCTTGCTACAGACCAATTAGTTTAAGTTGTTAAAATGTAATGTTTAAGGTCAAATAGCTATTTATATCCTATACCTTCAGTGAATCTTTCAGGCAGTAAAGGCAATAATCACAAATCAGATAAACAGTTATGCAAATGAGATGACTAGTACACTTTTCAATGGAAAAAAAAGATAACAGCAATACCGAACACTAATTGAATACTATGTAACATTGTGCCAATAAGACTTTTTATATAATTATTAGAGGCCCGTTGCATGAAATTTGTGCATGGGGGAGGGGGTCCCCTCAGCCCAGCCTGGACCCTCTCCAATCTGGGACCCTTCGGGGGATGTCCGACTCACAATCCAGAACCACTGGCTCCTGAGTGCTCACCTCCCTGCCTGCCCGATTGCCCCTAATTGTCCCCATTGCTAGCCTGATCACCCCTAACTGCCTCTGCCTGCCAGTCTAGTTGGCCTGGTCGCCCCCAACTGTCCCCTGCATGCTTGGTCACCCCCAACTGTGCCCCTGCCAGCCTGGTTGCTCCAACTGCCCCCCTCCCACTGGCCTGGATGCCCACAACTGCCTCCCTCTCCCCCCCGCTAGCCTGGTCGCCCCTCACTGTTGCCCTCACCAGCCTGGTCGCCCCTCACTGTCCCCCTCCCCACCGGCCTGGCTGCCCCCTCCCTCACTGGCCTGCTTGCCCTACGCAGCCTGCTGTTCAGTTGTTACTGTGAGGGTTTCGTGGCCAATTTGCATATTACCCTTTTATTAGTATAGATAATTTAAACTTTATAATAACCCTTTAAACACTACTGTCATTGTTATTATACAGATTTTTTAAAATTAAAGCTCAGGGAGTAAATAGTCATACAGCATGCAAGTGGTAGAGCTAATATTAGACTGCCTCAAAGTCCCAGTTCTTAACCACAATGCAACACTACTTCCTCCATATTACCTAAATACTTAATGATTATATTCGAATGTTATTTTACAGGAAAAGACTTTGTCCTATAAGTCCTTCAATAAAGAGTCCGATAATAATGGTAGAAAATATCATTTAATCATAGCCTAATCGTATTACTGTATTAATAGAAAACATTCAATAACTTAAGTCATGGAAAGCTGAAAAAGTAAAAAAAAAAAAAAACAAAAAACTCCCGCATCCACTCAAGTTCTGTTGAGTCTACATCCTAAGAAGATCTGAAGTCACCACTTTCAACATTTCCACTGCCACTTTCCAGCACAAACTAAAAATGAACTGTTCTGAAAACCTCCTAACTGGTTCCCAGGTAATCTTACACCCTTTCATTTATACTTCATATTTGGATTCACAGTGATCTTCCTAAAATACAAATCACTCAGCTGATCTGCTACTTTAGGATAAAATCAAACTACTTCTAAAGCCTTCCATTTTCTGAATGATTTACATCTCTGCTAACCAACCTCTCCAGCAAATCCTCTTACTCCCATTTCATATACTCTTCTCTTTCCCCACTCCCCCACCACACACAATCTCTACTCCAATGATCCTGATATGTCATCTGCTCAAACATTCTTTCAGCCATACTCATTTCTGCATTTACACAATCTATTTCCTGCACCTGTAACTTTTTGTCCTTGCCGATAATCTCTCTACCATTTACACGCCTGCCCTTTCCCCACAACTGCCCACCCGTTCTCCTCAACCTTCAAGTTCAGTTTAGACATCATGTTCTACAGGAAGTTTCTCTCACTCCCGAAGTCTAGGTTAAATTTTCACAAATCCCTTCTGGTTGATTCTATATTTATATTCTGTAAGCGCCACAAGACAGAGACACTATGACTGTTCTCACCTCTCTGTTCTCTCTCAATAAACTTTAAAAAAATAATTCAAATTTATTGATATGATTTACAGGCAGTAAAATGCAGTGACAGTTAAGTGGACAGTTAAGATAAATTTTGACACTGCATAACTGTCAGCCCAAACAAGGTACAGAATATTACTATAACCCCTCAAAAGTTCTTTGGTGCCCTTTGCAATCAGTTCCCTCATTTCTACCTCAGCTAATGACTGATCTAATTTTTTATCATCAGAGGCTAATTTTGCTTATTATTATAACTGCATATAAACAGAATCATAGACTATGTAGTATTGGGTAATCTAGCATCTTCCACTTAACACTTCTGAAATTCATCTGTTACTGCATGTATCAGTAGTTAGTTCCTTTTTGTTGCTGAATAGTATACGATGAACGTACAACTATCTGTTAATTCCCAATCTGTTAGACATTAAGATTGTATCCAGATTTTGGTTATTACGATAACTGCTATGATATTAGTGTTTAAGACTTTTGTGCACATATTTTCAATTTTCTTGATATATATATATATATATATATATATATATATATATAGAGAGAGAGAGAGAGAGAGAGAGAGAGAGAGAGAGAGAGAGGGAGAGAGAACATGTTGGGTCATAGAAGAAGTTTATGTTTAATTTTATTTAAAATCTGTCAAACTGTTCTCCAAGGTGGTAGTACAATTTATACTCTCACCAACAATGTATAAGAGTTATTCATATCCTGAAAATTGGTACTGTCAGTATTTTTTATTTTAATTACACTAAAGTGTGAATCAATATCTCACTGTGATTTTAAATAAATTTCCCTGAGGACTTAAGATGTTGAGCACCTTTTCTTGTGCTAATTGGTTATTCCCATAAGAACATCTATATATAAAAACTGGTAATATGCAAATTAGTCGGGCGTCACAACCGGCTCAGGAGGAGCTGCATGCACAGATGGGTAGGAGGGGACAGCGTGCCACCCTCAGCCACAGCAGACACACATCAAGGATGGGAGCATGCTCCAAGCGGCCACTGCGCAGCTGGGAGTTCGGCCCCAGTGGGTGGCAGCAGTGACCAGCTGGAGCAAAGCCGCCCCGTCCCAGATGCCTGGCAGTGGCAGGAACAAAGCAGCCCGGGTCCCAGTGGGTGAAGGAGGAAGCTGGAGCAAAGCAGCTCAGGTCCTGGGTGCCAAAGGGAAGCCAGTGCAGGCAGCCAGGAGATGGAAGGCCTAGTCTTACACGAATCTTTGTGTATCGGGCCTCTAGTATATATGTGTAATATTATTATGCATATTACATATTACAGACATATTCATATATGCATATATATGAATTGTCTGTTTAAGAGAAAGATATATTAAGGGACAATTAGAGCAATGTAAATTTCATGTTTATCTTTTTTTTTTTAATTGACTTTTTACAGAGAGGAAGAGAGAGGGATAGAGAGTTAAAAACATCGATGAGAGAGAAACATCGATCAGCTGCCTCTTGCACACCCCCTACTGGGGATGTGCCCACAACCAAGGTACATGCCCTTCACCGGATTGAACCTGGGACCTTTCAGTCCACAGGCCGACACTCTATCCACCGATATAAACCAGTTTTGGTTCATGTTTATCTTTATAAATATTGTCTACAAGAAATACTAGGTGAGCACAGAAAACTGAATCCAGCTAAACCAAGCCACACAAAATAGACATCTCTCAGAAGCAGACTTGCTACCTCAATCCACATTATGAGCTATTCACAGCCAATGTTCTACTTTTGTCTAATTTCAGATAACTTTCCTTTCACCACAACTAACAAGCAGCAAACACAATGTTCATTCCTACAAACAAATGTCTAGTCTTTTTCAACACAAAGTACCATAATTTTTACAGCATTTAAGTATTTCTTAATATTTATAAAACTATGCTTTTATTAGGTTCCTATCTTTTACATTTTTCACTAAAGAAGTTTTTTAATTTTGGGCCCCTAACATATTTTCCCCATAAATCCTTTGATTTTTAATAGCACAGTCCTTTATAGTAGAAGAGCAAAACCAAAACTGCCTGTGTCAAAGTGATGGGGACAATTTTGTCTATTTGCTGATCTTAGAGTGAAAACATTCATTGAAGCACCATTTACTATGAATTTTAGTTGTAGGCTTTTCATATTTACTGTGTCAAATTGAGAAAAATTCCCTTCTATTCAAAAGCTTGCTAAAGCCTTTTGATAACAAATGGGAACTAAATTTCCTCAAAAGGTTTTTCTGCATCTATTTAATCCAATCATATAATTTTTCTCTTTTTTCCCTGTTAATGTGTTGAATTACACTGATTAATTGATATTTGAAAAGTTGAATCACCCTGATCATTCCTGAGATGATCTCAACATGGTCATGGTGCCTTATCCAAAAAATACTCGATTTGCTAGTATTTTTATGAGAGTGTTTGCATCTACCATTATGTTCATGAGTGATACTGGTTAGAAGTTATTTTTTCTTTTAATATCTTTAACAGGTTTTAGTTCAGAGTTATTCTGGCCTGCAAAGCAACTTGGGAAACATTCCCCTTTCTTTTATTTACTAAACCATATGTAAAGATTGATATTATTTATTTCTTAAATATCAGAATTCATTATTGAAACTAAGCAAGAAGTTTTACTGTGAGAAATTTGTTCTTTATACATTAAGAAGGGGCTATTCATATTTGCTAATTCTTGCGTCAGTTTGATAAATTGTATTTTCATTGAATTTGTTCATTTGTCAAATTTGTTGGCATAATAATTGTTCATGATATTTCCTACTATCTTTTAAATAGCTGTAGGAACTGTAGCAAAATCCCATTTTTCATTCCTGTTATTGGTAGTGTGTTTCCATACAAATATAAAAAAGTCTTAAATTCCCTTTAAGCACTGCTTTAGGTGAATCACAGCACAAAATTATTAACCTTTCTTAAAACTGTATTATTCTTGCTTTAAACAGTCATTTTTCTTTTAAAGTGAAAAGAGGTTATCTTTTATATTTACCATTGCCAGAGCTCTTCATTCCTGCTAGTAGTTTTTTCAATCATTTAAGATGTCATTTCATTGTCTTTTGATCTCTACTGCTTGATGCTAAGTCAGCCATCATTCATCTTACTGTTCTCTTATGTCATGTGACATCTTTGTGTGTCTGCTTTTAAGACTTTCCATTTAAAACTGGTTTTCAGCAGTTTAAATATGATGTGCCTGGGTGTAGTGTTCTATATATTTACTTCCTTGGGATTTGCTGAGCTTCTGTGATACACATTGACTTTTTTTCTCCCAAATATGGAAAATTAGTAACCATTATTTTATAATTGAGATATAATTCATATACAATTCACTTAAAACTCGTTATCCATTTTAAGGAGTACAAATCAGTGTTTTCAGTATATTTACAAGGTTGTGCAACCATCACTATCTAACTACATATTTTCATCACACCAGAAACCTTAAGCAGCCACTAATATACTGTAAGCAGCCACTCCATTCTGCCCTCTCTCCAGCTTTTAAAAACCACTAATATACTTTTTCTAAAGAATTTCATATTCTGAATACTTCATATATAAATCATATAATTGAAGCCTTTGTGTCTCCTTTTTTTCTCTTAAGTATAAGGTTCATCTATACTAAAGTATATATCAGTACCTCACTCCTTTTCATGAATAAATTATATTCTGTTATATGAACAGATATTTTTTTCAGTTGATAAGCATTTGGGATGCTTCCACTTTTTGACCACTATGACTAATGCTGCTACGAACATAATGTACTAGTTTTGGGGTAGACATATGTTTTTCAATTCCCTTGGGTACATAACTATTAGAGTAATTAGTGTGTCATACCACAAGTCTATGTTTAACCATTTGCAGAACTGCCAGACTGCTCTACAGAATGGCTGCATCATTTTACTTTCCCAATAGTAACATAACACATGGTAGTACCAATTAGGCCACAACTGTCCAATTTTTAAATTATAGCTATCTTAGTGAGTGTGAAAAAGTAACTTATTGGAGTCTTTTTAAAATATTTTTAATTGACTTTTTTTAGAGAGAAAGGAAAAAAGAGGGTGAGAGAAAAACATCTATGTAAGAGCAAAGCATTGATTGCTGCCTCCTGCAAACGACCCCAACTGGGGATCAAGCTCACAAACTGGGTATGTGCCCTGACTAAATCGAACCAGTAACTTTTCAGTGCTTGGGACACCACCCAACCAATTGAGCCACACTGACCAGGGCAACTGAAGTCTTTCTTTGCATTTCCCTAAAGACTAATTAGCTGAACATCTTTTACTGTCCTTCGCTGTATCATGTTTAGAGAAATCTCTATATAAATCCTTTACCCATTTTTAATTAACTATTTACTTTTTTATTATTTGAATTCAATGAGTTTTTTTGTATATCCTGGATATGGATTCTTTATTAGAAATATGAGTTTGCAAATATGTTCTCCTATTCTGCGGGTTGTATTTTCACTTGCATGAAAGTTTTTCATTTTGATGAAATCCAATATATCTGTTTTTTGTTTGGTTTGTTGTGCTTTAAGTGTTACATAAGAAATCACTGCCTAGGTCATCAATGCACAGTGGAAGAAGCTGCGATATGGTATATTACCTGAGAAATACAGTTGCTCTTGGCCTAGCAAGAAAGAACTAGTCCATCAAAAAAAAGGGGTGTAGTCAGTCCTACAAGTATACTTAAAGAACAAGTACCAGCCAGGACCAGAGGTAGTGCCTTCCTAAGCACTAAAAATCCAACCTTAGAACTTTGAATGGATCTTTTAACACAGCACAATTTTTTTAACATGCATTTACCATTTGTAAAATATCTGTTTACTGAGTTAATTAAGATTTCCAAATGTTGACATATTTCATTACATAAGATTTCTTAAAAATCAGATTTGTTAAAATGACTATAAACCTCATCAAAAATTCTTTTAAGAATAATAAAACTGTCAAACTCATGGTAGCAGATACATGTTTTCCAAAATTCTAATTTTCATTTTAAAAGTTCAAGTTTTGTCACTGGCAATAAATACTGTCATTTGTTTTACTTGCAAGAGAGGCTCACTTTGTTTATTTTCATGAAACTGCCTGACAAATACCCAACTCTAAAAAAAACAGTTTGTCTATAGTTACTCTTTTAAATAAAAATTGCTGTTTCATGAAAAAAAAGTGGCTTGCTCAGCGTGCAACTCAAATAAGGGTACAAGTGCTTAGGACAACACAATATTTGCCATACAGCAAAATGTTTGACGTGCACTTCCCATTTCATTTCACTAGAAATTAAAATGAAATGCAATGAAAAGTCAAGATTAATAATAATTAATGTGTACTGCTTCAGCCAGAACAGTCAGTGCATGGCGGTGAAGAATACTAGTATTTTCTTGCACTGCCTTGGTTGGTGCTAAAGTGCCAATAGTTTTACCCAGCAACACTTCTGCAGACCTGTACAATTATAAGTACAGTGGAAAGGAAAAATAGCATCTTCTTATTTATTATTAAAGAAACAGATTGGACCTCATGAATACCTTGAAAAGATTTTGGAAACTCCCATGGGTTCACAGTGCCCTTTAAGAATCATTACACTATACCAATTCTAACAATTCAAAGCTTTCTCTATCATTCTTATAACACGTTGTCTCATTCCATCAATAATTACAAAGGGCTTAGTATGTAGTGGTACCAGGTAGGTACCAAAGTGTCTTTGTGTCATTCACTCATACATTCCAAGCTCATAGAATATTGCCTAGCTGACACACAACAAACTCTCAATATTTGTTAAATGAATAAATAAAAGAATAGCTATTATATATTTTAACAAATTCTAAATTATTTGAGAGTACATTACACACACACACACACACACACACACACACACACTCATTATTGGAATTATTTTTCAACATATAGAAAATACTTATTAGGAAATATGGGACTTCTACTCTTTCTACGTTTAGAATAATTTTATCTTCACACCATTCTAAACTGTAATATATACAGACAGTCCTTGCTTTGCATGCTACCATGGAAAGTTAAACACATGTATCGGAAGCATGTCTTCATTCTATATGATTCCGTGGTAACTAAAATCTTTGGTAACATGGTACTATCCAAAACATATTAGTGCAAAAAATAGAGAAATAAATCCCAATGGCTCACAAATTCAATTTCAATAAGATGGGGAGGAAAGCATTTTAGGAAAAAACGAGTGAGCCTCCTTTGGGCACCTTATGGGAAAACAAATCAAACACCTACATGACTTTTCAAACTCTTAACAAGCCCCTCCCTCACTATTTCCATTTCAGTATCAGTGCTCAGAGATCAAATAATAGAGGCGGTTCAATCTTCAGAAGTGTTTGTGAATTGCTTGGGGGATGAGAAATGGAGAATCAGGAAAAGATGGACCAGCACTTTATAAAATATTGAGGCAAAATTAGGTTACAATAAATCTAGCCTGGTCTCTTTAAAATTATGGTAATTAATATTTCTCAAAATAGAATTAGTTCAATTCTTTAAACTTTTGTCTCCTAACCCTTCCCTCAATTCAATCAAAAAGGCCTTAGAGTTACCCAGTTTTAAGTTTTCTCCTTCCTTTCTCCCATGCCCACATCCACACTGAGAAATTTGCTCTTCCTATTTGAGATGTATTTTTAATGAATATAAATATTCCAAAATATTATAAATTTTAAAGTGTATTTGGTTCCAACAAAGAATAGGTATTTATACATTAAATGTTTAAATGGTTCTGCCAATAGGAAGAAATTGAAAATATTTTATAAATAAACAAAATGTCAGCTTAGCAATTAAAAAGTGCCACAGGAAAAGCAATAAAAAACTTCACTTCTTAAAAAATTCTATTCTAAGTCTACTTACTAAGCACAAGTGGGACAAATGGGAAATGCTATTTAAACTATACCTTAAAATGTACTGTGATGTTCCAAGGAAGAGCTGAACTTGATGCAAGAAGATCAAATAGCAAACCAATTGGATAATGCCTAAAAATGAAAGAGTATATTTTAAGAAAGAGTAAATATTTAAAGTTATAACTACAACTCCAAAATAAATTTCCAGCATGTTTTAACATCAAGTATCAGGGGACTTTAGCCACATTATCACAAAGAGGTGACATTTTATACTATTATGTCTGAGCTAATATGGTATAATTTTCAGGCAGCAGGTGGTTTCTCCTCTAATCATTTCATTCCCCAGGGAAGCCTGAATGTACATAATAGGATTGTGCTAAGGCATCTTTTATTAGCCAGGAGCACTATTATGTTACACTTCAATAATACCTAATTATCATCCCAGTATTCATATTGGGCAACCTGTTTTATAAAGCTTATTTAAATATATTTTCAATTTTTAAAACAACTTAAAATTTTAGAAAATTCTGGGAATTAAAAAGAGCAGCTAAAAGAACATGCAATCACCTATTTTGTAGTGGTTATTAATATTATAGCATCTAAATCTTCAGTCTTTTACTTATACATACACATCTAAATATAGATTAGGCTATAACCTACTTTTTCCATATAACAATATGTGAAAATTTTCTAAAATGATTGAATATTCTTTTGTAATCGAATTTTAATGTTTAAAAAAAAACTGGATTTCTTAAATAAGAGAATGTTTCCTTATATAACCATTACTCACAGTGAACCAAATTATTTAGCAACTAGAGGCCCAGTGCATGAAAATCGTGGGGGGTGGTGCGGGATACCTCATCCCACCCTGCACCCTCTCACAGTCCTGAGCTCTCACAGTCCAGGACCCCTAGCTTCTTATTGGCTGCCTGCAGTGGAGGCGGGAGAGGGCCCTGCCATCACCACTGTGCTCACCAGCCATGAGCCCGATTTTATGCACCGGTGGGGTCCCTCAATCTGGCCTGCGCCCTCTCACTATCTGAGACCCCTTAGGAGATATAGCAGTGCCAAAGTGGCAGGCAGCTGGGACTGGGCGCAGCTCCACTGCCACTCATCCCAGCCCCACTACACCTGCTGCCACTGCAGCTGCACTCGCCAGCCATGAGCCCAGCTTCTGGCTGAGTGCACTGACCACCAGAGGGCAGCTCCTGCATTGAGCATCTTCTTTCTGGTGATCAGTGTGCATCATAGTCATTCCAGTCATTCCAGTCATTTGGTCATAACAGTTAATTAGGGTTTTATATACATGAGTGGCCAATTTATTATGATCATCTGAACGTGTAATAATCTGGCCACACAGTATATATCCTATATAATAAAAAGCTAATATGCAAATTATCCCCTCAACCAGGAGCTCAACCAGCAGGTGGGTTGGCTAATCACCCATGTCCCCTCCACCCTGAACAGGCTGGCTGGACCCCACCCATGCATGAATTCATGCCTGTAATATATATGTATATGTATATGTATATGTATATGTATATGTATATGTATATATGCATATATGTGTATACATGTATATGTGTGTGTATACACACACAAACTGAATGCATTAAGAGATCATAATAATCTTGCCACTTAGTGTATATAAGAGAAATAATACAAACCTTGCTGATTTTAATGTACATACCTTATTTTTTATATCACCCTTTTAAAGAACCTAAAATAGCTTATTCAGTAAATCAAAATTAAATAATACTCCCAACAATGGCAAAAAAGGACTGCTTGGTATTATGTATAGTCCTATTGTTTCCCATATATTAGTGAGTCACTCCTAAATTTAAGAACTAAAAAGTTTGAAAATATATCTTATTTCTCTCAAAATGAGTGACCCAATACATTATCTCAGCAAGATTCAAATATCAGCTAATACTATTTATGCTTCCTTATGTCTACATAATATAGTTGTGGAAAAGGCATCAGTCTCTAGAGATCATATATTTATTTAGAATGAATGTCCTACTAGTAAAATAAAACAGTGGGTAGCTTTAGTCACATGAGTTGTATTTCTTAATAATCCTTAAACTTCTCTCTATTCAAAGCTCAGCATCTATTACCAGTCTTTCACAAATAGAAAAAAATATTGAAGGAAATTTTGGACTACCTAAATAATAGAATGTTTCGTTCAGGATATTCTGAAAACAGAAAAGATTCTGGCCTGAATCAAAACCTAAAATAAAAAACAATTAAAAAAACAACAACAAAAATATCGCACTAGTGACAAATTATAGATTTTAGTCCCTTCTGGTCCCTTTCTCTGAACTCACATAAGGCCTTGTATTATACTTTTATAGGTGAACCGGTTGATAATGCAGATTTTTTTCAATAGATGGAATTACACCGATGTTGATATATATGCGATTTGATATGTACGCTATTTTCTTGTATTGACAGCAGGCTTCAAAACTTCATATGTCAAATTTTCTGAAGGTGTTAACATCACAGATATTTTTATGCTTAAAAATGTCGAATTTCATGCCAAAAAAAGAGCATTTGTGGGAAGTTTTATTTTATTACTTTATTTTGAAGAAAAAGTATCATATACTTTGGGAAGCTTATGGTGAACATGCTCCATCTCAACATACTTGTGAATGCAGGTTTAAATGCTTTAAAAGTGATGATTTCGATGTGAAAGACAAAGAATGTTCATGTCAACCGAAAAAGTTTGAAGAACAACCATTACAAGCATTATTAGATAAAGATGCATGTCAAACACAAAAACAACTTGCAGAAAGATTAAACATTGCTCAGCAAACAATTTCTAATTGTTTACAAGCAATGGGAAAGATGTTAAAGGATGGAAAATGGGTGCCATATCAACTGAAAGAAAAACAAATGGAAAACCGAAAGTCATCAGTAAAATGTTGCTTCAACAGCACAAAAGAAAGTCTTTTTTGGATCGAATTGTGACTGGTGATGAAAAGTGGATTTATTTTGGGAATCCTAAATGCACAAAATCATGGATTGATCCAGGTTAACCACCACCATCGACTGCAAGGCCAAATCGCTTCAGAAAGAAGAAAATGCTCTGCATTTGGTGGGATCAGGAAGGTGTGGTGTATGAGCTTCTAAAGCCAGGTGAAACCATTAATATTGATCACTACTGACAACAAAAAATCAATTTGAACCATGCTTTGATTATGAAACATCCAGAATGTGCCAGAAGACACGGCAAAGTAATTTTGCTTCATGATGATGCACCATTACACACTTCAAAACCAGTTAAGAACACATTAAAACATCTTGCCTGGGAAGTATTAACCCACGCGCTGTATTCACTAGACCTTGCTCCTTTAGATTACCACTTGTTCTAATCAGTGGCACACGAACTTTCTGAGCAGCACTTCAAAACATATAAAGAAGTCAAAAATTGTGTCTCTGAATGGTTTGTCTCAAAACAAGAAAAGTTCTATTGGGACGGTATACACAAATTACCTGAAAGGGAGAGAATTGTGTACCTAGCGATGGACATTACTTTGAATAAAGCACTTTTGATGTTTCTCTTGAAATTATCGTTTCCTTTTATTATAAAATCCACATTATTAACTGGTACATCTGACCTTTTTCAGTCTTCAGTCTTTTTTTTTTTTTTTTTTTTAGTTTTCCTCTTAGGTATCTTAGATATGTACAAATAAGTTAAGAATGAATGTGAATATTTAAGCCAACAGGAACTATTGCTTTCCAAATTCTATATAGTACTGCACATATAATCATAGAATCTCTTTAACAAATTAAGTAGTTGATCCATTGGATAGATTCACCAGTGGTCCCATAAAATAGCTAGCAATGCAGTATTGTGCACATTCTCTGCCATTCACAATGAAACTGTATGCAAATTCTCAAGTCAAATATTACTTTAAAAGCAATCAATAATGTCATATAAAATCAAATATATTTTTAATAAATAATAATTATTTGGGTCGGAATACAAGTTAAACACGAAAAGATTCATAATCAATTATTGTTTACCCTCAATATTAAAATAAACATGACTGTAAGTGCACAGAATCTTGAACAAAGTAGCTACTTATGAATGCATAAATCAAAGAGCCACAAAATAGTTAACCCTCAGTTTACCACAAAGATTCCATTTTCCAGCTGGTATGCTCAGTGGTTGATTCAGGAGGTCAAAGTGGATTCCTGGACAGGGCACATGCCCAGGTTGCGAGCTCGATCCCAGTAGAAGGCATGCAGGAGGCTTCTGATCAATGATTCTCTCTCATCAGTGATATTTCTCTCTCCCTCTCCCTTCCTCTCTGAAATCAATAAAAATATATATTTTTTTAAATTAGGAAAAGAAAAAAGATCCAATAGACCCAATTTTAGGTTCTGAATGTCTTTTCTGAGCACCTTTATTTTAGGTTTAGCACTTCACTACTTTCATTTTTCTTAAAGGTCTTACAAAAATCACACAGAAAACTCATTTTTAAAAAAAGATGAAAACTTTATCTACTAATTTACACAAGGATCTACTGGACCCTTTTATAAATTTATGATGTTTTATAGGATCTTAGTGATCTTGTCTTTTCTCTATCTTGAAACATTTTGCTATTTCATCATTCTTGGAATTATTTCATCATCACACTTAGCAATTATTCCCAACTAATGCTAAAAATGACTAAAATAGTAAGAATTTAGAACAATAATGGCATGCCTTAAAGGATGATACAATAAAGTATTCTTTTTTCCATTTTCGTAATGTGTCATCTAAAATTTTATGTCATAGTTCAATAAAGTTTAAAAAAAGAATCAGACTTTACCTTTGGAGTCTATTTTAGCCATCACTAATACAGCTGGAAATTTAAAATGTCATTATTTCCCATCCATAATTGGAGAGAGAAGAAAATTAAGAGGAAGATGCTACACACTTGTTAGATAAATCAGATTTTTGCAGAGACAAATATCAGTACCTTAGACTTTAAACTGATCATTTAAAATGAAATCTCAGACTATGAGTCGTTAGATGATATACTAGTGACGGGTAAGAAATCTTTTTTCTGAAAAGGGCTATTTGGATATCTCTAACATCATTCAAAGGCCATACAAAGTTATCAACTTAAAAAATTAGCCTG